AAGAGTTTTGCTTTATAATTTATGCCGTTGAATGTGAAGAAGTCCATGCTTTGTAAGGCATTTTGGGAGGGAATTGGAAATAACTTACCTGCACACGTGTTAACCCTTGCGCTACGTCGGCGTAGACGAGAGGCACATCCCAAGTGTTCCCTCATTAATTAATCATCCATGCCAAAGTGTGTCATATGACAACTCTGAACCGACTGATTGAGTTGGGCAGAGAGAGCACTTTGTTGTGGTGTAGGCAGTGAAGAGACTACGGTCTGTCTTCCGTGACAAGTACTGCGAGTGGTGTGTGTGCATGTTGGTACGTCAGAACCCTAAAATGTGGGTCAGTTTTCAGAAGGAGCTATTACCACTGACGTCAAGGAGTTGAGGCCAGAGCACCCATTTTTCGTCCCCATCCATTCATGGCCTTCAACTTTTATCCACCACGTACATCCATGTGTGCATGTCCTCCACGGTAACCGCCTTGGGCCGTCGCCATAGGTGACTCGCAATATCGCCGATACAGGTTGTAGTCATCGTCCTTAAATGTGAGGATTCCATGTAGATTATCCGAGTGCCTCAATGTGCATCCTTTTCAGCTGACATGGGAGAGTGGATGGGAATGAAGTCTTTTTATAAACTGCTCCTAGTCACCGTCTCGCCTGTGATCTTACCTACTGTGATTAGGTGAAGGCTACCCCGAAAGGGAAAATTGTCCAGTTTGAAAGGAAGAATGCCAAAGATGGTCGACTTAATTAATTCGAAGTGGTTTTCTGATGACCCACACAACACGTCTAATGGCGAATCTCTGCTGCCATTAAGGCCGGGCAAAGTGCCTATTGAATTAATCAATTTTTCTGATGCAGTTGCCTATCAAACCTGTTGGAGATATGCGTGGCTTTAAGGGCTTTTTGTCTGAACGGCATACATGTTCTGTACAATCAAACGCTCCAATCAACTGTTCCTGCATGGTCGTTTGTCTTGACCAACAGTCTTGCGGCTATTACCTATTTCATAAGGTCTTCAAGTACTCACCCATTCTCCATCTCGCATCCATCCACACCTCCATCCACACATCCGTCCACCCATCATTCCATTCAAATACCATTTCGGAAACAACTTCCCCACCAATACATAGTCATCTGTTCACCAGCTTTAATCTCTTGCTTCCTACAGCACTCTGTTCTCAACTATGGCTGAGGAATGTCACCCCATGCCATCACAAGACATTCTGCGTGGGTGATTCCTGCTTAATAAGTGAAACTGAAAATCCTCCTCTGACTCAGAAGTGTGTTAATTTTTAAGGCTATGATGAGCTTTCTAGTCAATACCACCCCATGTGTTGCCTTTAAGGCATTGCTGAGACCTTCAGTACCACATAATTCTCTTAGGGTCGTGGACATCTACTTTCGCAACCCCACTGCGGATGCTATGTCAAAGTGAAAAGGAATAAAATATCAGTGCAGCAGTCACTTGAGCAGATGCAACAATGTTGACTGCTATCATTCAATATCTGACAGCACCCATCAGCCTACTTCTCCCTTCCACACGCTTTTTTCACTTGGTGGTACAGCATCCTTCCTAATTCAAACTAACTTAGGCTAATACGGCCCCATCACTTAACCGGAAAACACACCAATACGCTTGTGCATGTACACGCTCACGTTTTACTCCAAATGGCAAGAAAAATGAATCGGAGAGATGGAAAGAAAGAGGGAGGGAAAGAGGGGAAGTGGGAGGGGGGGCAATATAGGTGGGCAACACATGCGTTGATATTCGCTGTTGCCTTATCTTCAT